CCACACCACATGCTGGCCCCAGTACTGAACTCTTGATGTGATAATAATTCTATATCTTATTGAGATTTCAGGATTTTACCCCGATGGAAATTCTGATCTACTACATTCACTGTATTTTCTCTTCCCTTCCTTTCCCTTCCCTTTCCTTCCTTTAAAAACAAACAAACAAACAAACAAAAACACTATCTTTTTTGTTGTTAGAGAAAAACTGCCTAAAATACCTTTGAACTCTGAGACTATGGCTGATAATAGTTGCACGTAAGATTGTTTCCCTTGCTTTCTTAGGTCATCCCTTCCCACTGCATCAGCTGGGAACGGCAAAATCAAAATGCACAAAAGGAAAGAGTTTTTATGCTCTTCAGTTGTTTATGCTCGTATAGATCGATTCTTTAGCCCCTTCATAGTTCTTATATGAATGCATTGCCGTAACTGAAAATTGCCACTCAGTTCTTTAAAATATAATGATCCATTCTTTAGACCCTTCATAGTTCTTAGATGGATACATTGCAGTAACTGAAAATTGCCACTCAATTCTGGAAAATATAAAACAGTTTCAAACAGGTCAGGATTATCTGCTATTCCTTTGGGAAGTTCACTGCATTTAATGTTCTTTTGTTTTGGTCATTTAAACTTGTCTCACTGACTTGAATTGCAAGTTACTAGACCACATCTCCTATTTTTGTTCCCCTCAATGGAGGATGTAACGCACTTGGCATTCCATTAATACTGACCTTGCTGGCTTCTTCATACAAGTTGCCATCAGAGTGATCAGTGCTGCTGTCTCTCTCCCGGGCTATGGAGCCCAGAGAAGGGGGCATGATGAGAGGCCCCTCATCATTTCTTCTGGGCCAGATTAAGATATGGCTTATTTTATAAGCTTGTTTGTCACTTTTTGTTTTTCCTAGTGATATTCATTTAACAGATATTTACTGAGCAATGTACTAGGCTCTATGAATACAGTGGTGAACAAGACAATGGATTATCAATTCCATGAGGGCAAGGATTTCTGTCCATTATGTTTTCTGCTGGCATGTAACAGTTCCTTGAATGATGATTTTTTAAATAAATTGGGCTCATACTATGCATGGAGGTTTTTATTGAACTTTATTTATTTATTTATTTTAATTTGACCAGAGAGGGATGGGGGAGGTAGAGAGAAAGAGAGAGAGTGAGAGAGCAAGCCACCAGGTCTGGGACTCCAACCACAGTCGGCTATGTGGGAGTCCAACGCTCTTAACCACCTCGCCACCTGCTGGCCCCCATGCATGGAGTTTTGTGTCCTTTTCTACTTAATGTTGTTTGGTAAGCATTTCCCCATGTTTAATTTCCAAACACCTTTCTCACAACTTGGTAATATTCTATTCTCGTGATTAGCCCTAGCTTATTTAATCTTTGTTGTTGAAGAACTTATTATCAGTTACTTTTAGTTTAAAATAATGTTATGATTAATATGTTTGTTCATAAAGATTTGAAAACAGTTCTAATAGTTTCTCTATTTTTAGAACAAATCTATAAAGTCAAAATGTACTAATGCTTAAAATTCTTGACAGATGTCTTCAGCTGTTTTTCAGAAAAGTTATACAGACTTATTCTTCTACCAGCAGTGTTGGTTTTACCAAACCCTTGGTATCATTGAGCATTACCATAAAAAAGAAAAACATTTCGCTAGGTTGATAGCTATCTTTATCTCTTTTTTATTAGCTTCAGTTTATTAGTGAGGTGAATGGTTTTCCATAACTCTATCTGCCATTTGTATTTCTTCTTTCATCTTCCTTATTAAGAGCATTTACCCATTTTTCTATTGGGTTCTAGCATATTCTTTATAAGATAATGTGTGCTATATATGTTAGTATATTAAGCTTTCATCATTCTAAAATAGGTATTTTTTCCTAGTTGAGTCTATTTGACTTGCAGATATATTTAATCTTTAAGTAGTCAGATATTGCAAACTGTGATAGTTTCTTACACTCTCTTAACCTAAAAAATTGTTTCTCAGAGCCAGCAGGTGGCGTGGTGGTTAAAGGCACTGGATTCCCACATGGTCAACTGTGGTTCGAGTCCTGGACCTGGTGGCTTGCTTTCCTTACTTTCCCTCCTTCCTTCTTATTCCCTCCCTCCCTCCTCCTCCTCTCTCTCTCTTCTTCTCTTCTTCCATCCCTTCCTCTCTCATCAAAACTGGAAAATAATAATAAATTTAAATAAAATAATTACTTAAAAAATTGTTTCTCCTCTAGGTTATGCAAACTTTTGCCTCTATTTTGTTATTTAGTAGTTTTGTTTATAC